CGGGGAGCCATGTAAATACCCCCCCCCCCTGCCCAGCGGACTTCTGCCGAAGTTCATGCGCCGAGCTCCTGTCCCGTCGTGATCCCGCTTTCAAGCGGGAGCCGTGTGGAGCTGCATAAACACTGTACTCCAGTAAAAGCCGGGCGTTTTCTATAGATAATATGGATGTCTGTGTAGTAAACTGATCAATCGATACCTATATTTTGTATCGAATAAGTTGGCTAGCCAAGTCGATAGGCGGACAATTCTCAGCTCTGGGCTTCATATGACCTAACTGGTCACTGGACAAACTGGTACCAGATGGATTCTTGCGCACGAGCGAACATTCGCATTTAGAATGGGCCTTTAAAGTAATCCGTCATTGGTTGATCGAGAACAATGCGGCCATGTCGACGGGGGGTGCCGACGTTCCACTCAGCGGGTGGTTTTTTTGCATCTGATTGCTTTTGTAGGTAGGGAATTTGCTCAGCTTAGCCAAGATCAAAATTTCCAGGCAGTATCGATGATGAAAATTGCTTTTGGACCTTTTCCTTCGAAAAAAAAGATTGTTTTCTATGACTATTCAATAATATGTTCCGTTTCAGGCCACCCTCAGTAAGAAACTGAAAGGTGCTCGAAAACGAATCCATGATATTCGAGGAGGCCTGCATAGCGGTGTGTCGAGCTTAGCTGGATCTCAGGTAGGCATTCGGTATTTTCAGTTAATCAATATCAATCAATAACCTTCACATAATGGTAATATATTTACTGTCTAGGCATCTGTTATGTCGCATGATATTTATGGCGATGACGAGGCAATGCATGCGTCGTTTGACTCGATGTTCCGGTGAGTTCCTCTGTTTCACCTGGATGCTCTGCTTCTGGACGAGTTTTCCGCTGAGTGTCGGACAACTCGTCCGTGTCTATCGAAGTACCTCTCAAATATCCGATTGTTTTCAGTCCCAGGACCCAATCAAATCTCTCGGTGCCTGGTTCATCTACCCGTGTCTCACCGTCAATGGAACATCCATTTGACGACTTCGATTTCCCCAGTTGGGTAAACGACGCTGCCGCGGCGTCGACCGCTGCGGCTGCCGCTGCTGCCGCCGCGAACTCCTCCAATCATGCCGCTCCCATCCCTACGGATATTCTGGATCGAACCGACCAGGTACAGTAAATGAAATGTTTTTTGAATGGTTCAAGTATTCCAATCGAATCTTCTGTAGCTGCCCTGATAGCTATGCCCTCATTGCATGAAGATCATATAACAGGAGCGCGCGGTCGCGAAGCGATGGCATTGTGACCTGTAAGAACGGGATAGGAATTGCTGCTTATCCTTGTTTCTACCTGTCAATGCTTTTCTAAACGCAATTCCCATGTTTCCGCATGGATTCGTTGCTGCGCAGCCGCACGCGCAGTGGTCATGTATTACAAACGAAATCTTTTCGCGTTAACATCTTTCAAATAGTTAAATGGCCAAAAAATTTAGCAAGACCGAAATTTCGCACCGAGTAAATTTCGTCCAGTTGAAGGGTGTAGTTCGCACATGTCCGCTTCGCAAGGGCATAGGCAGCTTAAACCAAATACTGGTTCTCCGAACTGTTGCACGGTTATCGATTGTCTGATCAGTTAATGTCGTACGATCATCGATTGGTCTGTCAGTCAAATTCGTGCGTTTATCGATCGAGTGGGCAACTGATCTCGCACGATGTGGTTAGGCAGTCTTCGTGCGACCCTCGACTGATTAGCCCATCGGTTCTATGCGATACGTGTGAGTTACTAGCACGATTATCGATTGACTGATTCGCCGGTCGATAATCGTGCGAGGAAGTAGTGGATTCGGGCGCATTTTTCTGGCTTTTTTCCTGTAGTTTTCTTTGATTCGAATACTTGAACCACTTGAAAGCGTAAAATGCTGCAGCGTTCTGTGAAAAATTAAAAATTGAAAGTTTCAGATGCGAATCGACTCGTGTCGAGCCATGATGAACGGTGTGAAGCAAGAACCCAAGCAGGTCAAGGTAAGATCTGTGCCAGCTGTTGCGTTTTTCTTTGTATTTTTTGTGTTTCTGCGCTCTCTCGACTCGCTGTGCTCTCTTATTGTACTAGTGTGTTATTGTTTTTGATTGCGAACACATGCGTAGCCATTCATTCAGTGAGAGTAGTAATTACTGGAAACTAATTGCTATCGTTCTTTGTCCGTAGAGGAAGAAGGGAGGGTAAATGGGATGAATGGCCTTTCTCTGAAGGCGGGCGTGTGGGCTGCATTCGAAGCAAAAGAACGGACACATTGGGAGCACAGTGAGGCGGAAAGTTGCACGATTGCTTGCCAGGAACACCAATCGATAACTATCTTTCAGACTGAGTCGCCTGGTGTTCAACCGCCATCATACCTCGAACTGAGCAGTGTCCGTAACCAATCCCAACTACAAAATCCACTTTTGCGATCGCAGTTGGCATCGGTGAAATTTCAGTCAGCTGGGTGAGTGTTCATAGCATCTTTTCACTCTTTGCAAGCTCCAGTGCAAATCACTGGTCACCGGCGCGTGCGGTTGCGTCGCGGCTGGATATAAATTATTGTTGTCAAGTAATCAGAAATTCCCCCTTGTACTCATACCCGCAAAAGTCCATCTTGCGGCCCTTTAATTCATGAAATCCTGCGCGCGCGGTCGCTACGCGGCTAGTCTGGTTTCGTGCCACAAAGAAAATAGGTGAATGTATGTTTTAAAAGGAGCAAATAAAGAAAGAACTCTGTCATAGATCTGTTCCAACAACGTGGCATGATGCTGCACTAAACACATCGCGACCGCACGCGGCAGCTATCTATGAACTACAGAATCGTCTGAACACATGGAATGAATTGTACGTGAGTGTAGGGTGCGGGTCGCTTACCTCAGTGCGAGGTAAATGATCACAGGGTTATATGTGGGAATTTCGCCTTCTGGGGCTTAATTACGCGAACGAACGCCTAACGCGCGACTTTTGGGACAGCGATGGGTAAGGAAGTTGGTAACGTACATAACTTTCGATTCTGGTCTTTATGGCCATCCATGTCGTCACGTGCCGTCGTGGTTCTGCGCGTTCATAGTTCGCGATATCGCGTGATCCAGACTCGAGCTTCCGGTCGCGCTTTCTTCGCGATCAGGTCGCGAAGTATGAACGCGCTTGATGTATCCATGTGTATTGGTTGGCGTCGACCCCCCTTGCAAGCATCGATCACTAACTGCAAAATTCCATTATTTGCCCTCACTCTGAGTAGGTTATGGACATATTTTGGCGATAATCTAGAGGTCGCGAAATGGGGTGAGACTCGCGACTCCTACCTCATTGGCCCCTCCTCATCGGCGTACTAGAGGGTAAGCTGCCCCAACGAGGAAGACTTGATCCTTTTCGGTCCCCGCCCACCAGATTGTCGTAGAATGTGCCGCTACATTGAGAGCTAGGCCTCGATTACGCTTATTTTTTCCTGGCAGCTTGCATGAGCAGTTAGCTGCTATTTCGCAGTATTTGGGCGCTACCCTACTGAGCCATGCGCAACTTCTGGACCTTTTCTGGTGCAAAGGTAGTTCGAGGGTGCCAGGCGGCGGCGCGAATAAGCCACATCATGTTTTGTTCGCACTCCCTCAGTGTCCTGTTTGACACGACTTTTGAAAGCTTGATACGCGTGCATACGCTGCTTTCCTTCTGGGTGAGAGGACGCAGACAAGCAGAATTGACGTGGCATAGTTGCACCGCTGCCTGGCACCCCCAAACTACCTATGCCCTCTTTCTGGTGATTAACTTTTCATCTACTGCTGCCATTTATTTCAGGCTTCCGCTGTCCTACCAGACGTACTCGCCGTGGCCTGGTCATCATAGCGGCCACCTGCTGCCACCTTCGTCATGTGCCGCGGTAGCACAAGCGAATTCGGTCGCAGCGGCTGCAGCGTTGCCGTCAGACCTCGAAAGTCTTACACTGCCCGATCAACCACTTATGGATTTTGAAGTCGAATCGCTGTTACGACACGAACTGTCTCAAACCTCCGATCATCGCCTCAATTTCGACAATCTCTGAGTGCCGTGCACCCATTCATCCACCTTCTTACACATATGCCCTTCTTCATACTGTCGAATGGCTACGTACATACACAATTATATGTATGTGAAGCCACGCCCCATTTGTTAGCCACGCCCCCATCTGTGCTAGTTTTCCCTGCACATAGAGCATTTTCTCAGTTGTTTTCGTTTTTTCTACCATGCGTTCACACTTCAGTCGCATATTCGCGTTCTGTCGCGCGGGTGCATGGACAATTCTGTACAACATAACCCAAATTACAGTCCATTATTGCCTTGTTGAGTCTCTCATTCTAATCCTTATCGACGCCACTTACACCATTCTACACCAATTCTGCACCAATTATGTCACCATCGTTCAGCTGTGTGTAATGAGGTTATCGGTTCATTGTTCTTCATGTGTGCATCATGTTCATCACATGCTTTTTTGTTCTCTTCATGTCGTTTACACGATTATTTTTGTGTGTGGATTTTTTTCGCGACCCCCCTGACCTACCCCCACGTCCCCACCCATACCCCCTGCCTGCCTGCCCGGCCCGATTCCCCACAATTGCACATCACATCACACCAATTCTGCTGTCGTCCGCTGACATCACCTCGTCCCTTTTGCAAACGAGTCGTTGAAGATTTCTATTATTTCGATTTTTATTTCCTTTTTTCTTCATTTTCATTGTTTTTGTATTTGTATGATGATAATGATGATGTTTATTATCGGATAATAATGGGCTACCTCGCAGTTGTTGCTATTGTGATGATATCTTGCTGATCGCCAGCAACCGGGTACAATCCAAGCCCCTTCCTCCCATTCTCAGACCTCTCGTCCCCTTCGTCGGTAGCTCCCATACTCGCTCGCTCGCTCGCCTCGCCCGTTCGCTTCGCTCTGCTCGTGACATGTCCCATCGTCATTCATTGAGAATGAGAATCCATTTGACACCAGGTAGATGCATTTCCTTGTACATACACCACCATTATTTGCACCATCACCCACATTTAGATGATTTAGAACTATATTATATGTGAGCACTCGAAATGCGTCCGTATTCTGAGATTGACGCAAATTATGTGTAGTGTGTTGGCGCCGTTACGGTGTGCACTTTAATAAATAGTTAATAAATAATATGTATGTGTGTGATGATGCTTCTAACGTTCACGAATATGTAGCGAAACGATAAGGCTCAGCGCCAGCGCTTGTAGAACCCCACTCATAGACCTCGATTCGGATACGGTAGCGACAGCTTCCCCCATACATATGACCCGGCCCTGATCAGCACTCTGCTTCCCCGGAACCCTTCCCTGACCCGGGAAAACCCTTGCACCAAGGGCTTTCTGGCGTCCCCTACTACCCCTCCCCGCACTTTGTTTCATCGCTGTCTCATCTCTGTTTTGTTATGACGTATGTCCTTTTTCGTTCGGTTTTTAGTCATTTGTGCCGACACAGATGATATGGAAAGAAAGGAATCGATCATTGGTCGAATTCTTTTCTTTTATTGTTATAAATATGCAGAAATATATATTATATGTGTATTCCCCCTCCCCAATGCACCTACATGAACCCAACAAAATTTGGTCCCGTTATTCTTTCTTTATCATCAGTGAAGCGTTTCTTCATTTGTATGTACAATGTTTTTTTCTTCTTTATAGTGTCTTTTTCGTGTTTACAAGTTATCAAAATAAATGATTAGAAAATATTTGCTTGTGACAGACAACGAGAGTGTCCTTTGTGTCTCTACCTGGTGCAGCAGACGGCGAGAGTGTCCTCTGCGTGTTTACCTGAGTGGTGAATTTTCATTAGAAACTAAGGGTCACAAACGGTGAAAAAGCAAGTCTTATTTAAGAGGTATCAGGTGGTACAGCAGACGGTGGGAGTGTTTCCTCCGTCTCTATGCCACCACGATGACGTTTTGCAAGAAGAGTAGGGTGAAATAACGAGATCAATCAGTCAAAAGCAGGGGAAAAGGGGTGTGTTCCTTTCTGGAAGTGACGGACGGTGCAGCAAGCGGTGAGAGTGTCTCTGCGTCTCTGACTGCCTCGTAGTGAGGTACTGTGGGAACATTTGGGATGAACCTAAAAAGGTAGATTCATACAGCTCAGGAAAAATATTTTACGAATTAAAAGCGAGTCTGTGGGTCAAAGTCGAAAAGCAGTGTAATCATGTGATGTTCTGGTTGGAAAAAGCAGGGATTGCGAGAGCTTCTCTGCGTTGTTGACCTGCTTAGCTTTTCCCTAGGAAACCATGTGTGGGTGCAGCCTCAGTCAGTCAACAGTCTGTAGGATAGCACGTAGGAGAGAATCTTTTATCCCCTCCGCTCATGGTCAATTCGAAGAAATTTTTAGAAGACTGGTCCTTCACGGGGGCAGCGTGCTTATGGCGTACAGCGGCGGCTAGACAGCGAGAGTTCTTCTGCGTCTCTTACATTAGCATCGCCCTAGAATTGAAAAATGCTTAAGAAATGAAAAGCCACCACACCAAAAGCACTAACAGTCTTCATGTGGAGGTCTTCCCCGTTGACATACTGGCCATTGAGACGGCAACATAAGTGAATACCCCGTTTTTAGCTTAATCGCGATTTTGGCAGCACGGAAACAGGTGCCGAAATCTATCACAATATTTTGCTCAGTAATGGTGATGGTGAGATGGTGGTGTCACCAACCGAGATTACGGTCTAGTGCTCGGACCCTCTGTTGGCTCTCACCACAAACCAGTCGCCGCGTTCAGCTTAATGAGTGGACTAATTGGTGCGCAGACTTGACATGGGTCGAAGATCAGAGATGTGTACCATTCATTAGCTGCCCTAACAGTAAAGTTTTATAGACGAAAGTCCAAAAAAAAATACTATTGGCGGACTACTACTTACTACTACTCTTGGAATGAAAGTAGAAGGCGGGGCGCATCCGAAAGGGATTCGAATCGATTTCCATTAAAGCCTTGAACCCAATCTTCAGTTTTGGCGCGTGTGTGTTTGCCCCGCAACATTTGACCAACCTTGACCAACTATGATCAGGCTGATCGATCGCATGTGCGGTCCTCGTCTCCTCCAACGGACCAGCGGATTCTACTAAAGGCTTGCAGCTTTTATAGCCACGGTCGCCCTTGAGCTACATGGCCCTTCACTTGTGAGTTCCTTTGTTTACAACTCTTGCGGGTTCACTAACGCATTTTTTTAAATTCGATCGTTATTAGTTCTTTTTTGTCTCTTCATCTATCTCCCTTTGATAACATGCGCACCCTCTTTAGATTTGTGATATCTAAAGGTGTTGTTTGGGAGCTCCATCTCGACCTGGCGAAAGCGGAAGACGGTCAAGACAATCGTAATTTGCCGCTCTGTCGTGGCGGCGATGGCGCGGCGTTTTTCGTAAACTGCGTTAGCCTGTCAACTGGAGTACCGGATTTCAGGTGGGCTACAAAATCGTGAACATTTACTGCTATTTTTGGTTACATGTTGCCTGTTGTCCCAATCTACGACCCGGAAACATCGTCATTTGCGGGCGCGACGCCGCATGCGACGCCCAAACAGTGGCGGACAATTGCAGTGTATTGCTTACATGCGGCCGAAAGCTGCTTTGGCAGTGGACCTCGGTGCGCGCGAACATCGCGACCAAGGCTCTGCCGCTCCTTTGAAGGAAGAGTCCTTTGACGTTTGAGCGTCGCCGCGACGTGGATCTCTTGTCCCACGCTCCTCTCGGGTATCGCGTTCATGGTCAGCGCTGCACGATATTAAGACAAGTAAAGCTAATAAAGGAGGGAAACAGAAACAACAACATTTTCCGTCATAGGGCTACATTAACTCATGATGCTAATCAGCTCCACAAGCTCTGATAGGAATAGGATGGTCGATGCTCCATGTACGTATGCGCCATGAATTTGACACTTATTTAGGTTTCCTAGTACAGTATCCATAACCATCTGGATTCCATGTACAAATCAAAGCATCCTTGAGAGAAGACATAGTTGGCCTAGATGGTGCGGAGTTCTACTACCCGAAGTGCGATCGACCCTTTTTGTCACTGCTGCACCTCCTGGGGGATTGGTGAGACTCCTATAAACAGCGTTGCTGTTGCTTCGTGCTGGTCGCTGAAGTCGTGAGGGGTTGGTTCAGGCACGACGATTTATAACAAAGGGTGTTCTACTCTGCTGTGGTCATACCGTAGGTTACTAGTGATTACGGAGCATCTATCGTCGTACTGACCATATGATCAAGTCCCTTTCTAAGCCAAAACGACTTCTACCCCTCACTTGGAACTAGCTCTTGTCCTAGGGAAATCCCATGGAATAGCGGTGAGGCTGTGCAGTAGTATAGGTAGATGCTGTTACGGTTTGAATTTCTTCCACGATTCTGTCTGAGAGTAGAATGCATGGCGCGCTCAAGGAAGGTCGAACAACCTGCAAACGAAGTTGTTTTCTCAGCTTCCACTTCGCCTCAAGCCCTTTTGCCAATCCTGGAACTTTTAGCGCTGTAGGCTGTTTGACTTGAGTATGTTTTCCTGTAAGTGCTGCACTCAGGCAGCTCATTTTCGTCAGCCTCGAACTTCACGATCTGTTGCCGCAAAGGGTTTAGTACTAATCGATCGAAGACTACTCGGTCCACACAGTGCAGTAGTAGTAGTAGTTGCATGTTTGTTGTGTGTGCATCGACGTACGGCCTGGGAAGGGGGGCGGAGTGAAGGGTTGTTTTTGCCGACGACAGGGCTGCCTCGAGGCGCCAGACAAAAACAACCCTGCGTCCCTTCGCTTGTACCCGGCCAGCTCGTCGTCCATGTATCCAGAATCCACCCGGACTCTCTTCAGTCGCACGACACCCGCGTTCAGAGTCCACATATGACGTCTCGCGCTATACTATTCTCGACGCGCACACACACCACACCGCGCCACGATTGTCAATGAACCGGCTTGAGGGGTCGGCTTCGACAAGGGTGAAACAGCAACGGTAATGCTAGCGATTTCGACAGTGGTAGGACGCAGGCAATTGTTCTGCAAAGGCACTGCGAGACGTGCAGCACACT